ATTTGATTAGTAAAAGTATGTCGGAAAATGGCTTAAATTTATTTTTTGGGCCCAAATTTTCGGATCAGCGGTGGGGAGCTGCAAATTTTAAAACATTTGGCATTTGGGCTACCCTAATATACACCGACTTAATAAAGCTAATGTTCGGAGTTCAAGTGCGGCTGTTGCCATTGACATCGAATCAGACCTTACAAGCCATTTGTCCCTTTATTACAAAATTGGGATCCAAAATTCAGCACACGGACGTAGCATGTTTATAAGTTGATCAAGTGTCGCGTTTAATGAATTAAGTGTTCCAGTGAAATGACTTTGTTTTTTGGGTAAATGCCTGGCCCGGTTGCCAGGCATTTACCCCAAAAACAAAGTCATTTCACTGGAACACTTAATTTCCAAATTTGTGGTAAATACCCTCTTCTTCACACTCTGTCTCTATCCATCTATCTCTTTATCTCTCTCCAATAAGAGACTGACCACTGTCATTGCCTTTTTCGTTTGTTTCATCTCTTACGACCAAATAAAAAACAAACATTTTGCTCATACTTGGAAACAATATTTTCGTTTCACATTCAAGTCCATAATGGACTCTTTTCACTTCATTCAACTCCTGTTCAAGATCTAAAGCGGGAAAGTCCCGAAACGGAGCTGCTCATTGCTCAATGAGCAATGCTCATACCAATTTGGCTTGGAGCAATTAAGACTTTACGGATTTTGGCAAACAAAATGATTTCAACTCAACAATAAATGGAAATATTTGTGATAGTGTTAAGCCCTGTTATACCACTTGTGGCATTTTCTTCAATAAGACGTCCACCACCAAAGTCTAAACTTATTCATATTTCATTCTCGCATTAGCATAAATATTTCTACTGCATACATAATCCAATCGGTTTTGCTGTCCGGCCATCGGCGTCAGTGTTGGCATTTCTACTCGTATTATGCAGAATAAATTCAAATTATTTCGATTGTTCAACTTTTGTAGAAGTTTCAAGTGCTGAATGGAAGAGAGAGAGAGAGAGAGAGAGGGGGGGAGAGAAAAAGACGCAGGTGAACGAATCGAACGTGTATTCGACGCCACCGTCCCGTGCAAACTGCCAGTCGATCGATGCGAATGAATATTTAAGTGAATGTGGGTGTAAGTAAAAGTCCAAAGGCGAAAGAAATAGATGGACATTTACATGGCATTTGAATTTATATAATTTTGACACGCCAATCGCAGATTCAAGAGCTCGGTGGAAAATGCCATTTAATGGGATCTCCCAAGTAATTTTTATGATTTCTAATTTCAATTCGATTGCAGCGCTTTTTTTTCACCCACACCCATATCAAGTACAGACAAAAATGCAGATATTTTAAATGGAAAAGAATTCCAAGATATTTTCTGCAGTGGTGGGCTCAATTTTTTTTGGGGGAGTTTTGCCTCTGGAATATATGTATTACAGTGCAACGAATCGCATGAGAAACAACAGATACAAGTGGTTGAATATAAAACATTTGCTTGCTTACCCAAAACGATCCAGATGACAATACAATTGCCAATTATAGCAATCAACAGCATGCTACCGAAGAGGAAGGCCCACATCGCTTTTTGCTCCCATGGTATTTCATACGGTCGTCTGGGTGATGGTTTAAAGCAATCAGTAATAAAATCTCTGTAAAAATTGTTAGCAATAACACATGTAATCAGGGATGAAGCACAATGCATCAACAGTTTAATGAATCTAACAATATACAGGAGTGACGCACAAGCACGAAAGCTCATTAATTAAAATTGCGAGATAAAGAAAAACACACAACTAGAATGGAATCGGATTGAAATAAATCTACCATATCGAGTCTGGAATCAACATTTATAGGTACGTTCATTTGAATGCTTTACAATGAAAACAACGAAACCCAGAGTTTTTTCTTCAAATTGTAATATTTACAACTGTATATGAAAAAAAACGCTTTGTTTCATACATTGTTTTCATTCATTTGTAGGAGATTAAAAACAATAAACGTACACAAATGAAATATGATTTACAGCTTGTACGCACGTTCGATCGTCCTTTAAATGTTATTGCGCAACAAAAAATGTGGAAAGTTCTTTTTTATTTGAAATCAACCATTGATTTCATTGATTCAGAATTTAATTTAAAATGTTAATTTAATATTCAATTCCATTGAAAATGTTTACGCACAATAAATCTATCAAGCCAAACGGTATAAATGTGAAAGATTGTCCAAAATTGAAAGTGTGCATTTTAAATACGTTCGCAATATGAACTATGAAATTTGTCATAAAATTTAAAAGGCCGCTTTAGTAGCGTTCATATGCTGCTTGAATCGCTACCATCGCCGCAAACAAATTCGTTATGAATCTGACTTTTTTAAATAAAAAAACATCTTCGAATAAAAAAAGGTAAAATAAAATTGTAACTTCAATTTCTCAACACACAGTTTATAAAAAAAAATTATTTGCATCAATAAAACTTAGAAAAACAACAATTATTCTATTGCAAACGATTCCCATTTGAAGTTTGAAACTTCAAAACTAACAGCGACATCTAACGAAAATCCGTTACAACACCCATTCGCCATATTGACAAGTGACAAGTGTGTTGTTGTTTCAAATTTCAAGTGGGAATCGTTTGCAGTGAAATAATTGTAGTTTTCCTAAGTTTTATTGATGTAAATAAAATATTTTTTATAAACTGTGTGTTGAGAAATTGAATTTACAACTTTTTTCTACATTTTTTTTTTTCATTATAAAATATTTCTGGATTATTTTGTTTTGAAAGAAGTCAGATTCATAACGGTTTTGTTTGAAGCGCTGAAAGCACTGAGAAATTTTTTTTTTTGGTTCAATATCAACCGACTAAAACGATACCTAGCGGATATGCTAGCCCTTTAATTTTTATGATAAAATTTGCAATGGTCTTTAATCTGACTCGTGAAATGAAGAAAATGTAAACATCATTAATTTTGTATCTTTTTCTTTTATAACGTTTTCTCGGTTATAAATTTCTACGCTAAAATTAGCTTCATCTGGTTGGACCGTCGTTTGTGGTGTCGTCAATCGTAGAGCTAACGGTTTTGCTCCAAACTTTTCATACCGCCGACTCTGCATGGTCACGTTTAATGTACAGTAATCAATCCGCTCTTGATGGAGAAAACCACTCGATTATTTTCGTATTAACTTATTTCCATGGAAAAAAAACCGCATGAGTTTCATTTGTGCAAATCATAGTTGCTGCAAGAATGTCTACATTTTGTTGGGTAACGTTCGAAAAGTTTTCCTGTGTTATGAAAATATAGCGGATAAATGTGGAATCAAACTCAATTCGGCCAAAAACATCAAATTTAGCTTACAAAACTTTGGCAACATTCGCACAGAAAAAAATGCACCAATTTAAACCGAATACTTTAATGAATCATTTGTATTCCGTTCTTGATTGTTTGCAAGAATTCTGGCGAAGTGGTCAATTTGAGGGGATTGCGTTTTTGGTTCGATCGATCAACGTAGGAACGTTGAGCATGCAAAGCACTTCTAACCGATTCGTTGTTATTATTTATTCTTCTTCAGAAAGCCATTGATTATTATCAAGTTGTTGAAACAACGTTTCGTTTTGTAATCGGTGAATGTGTGGAAGAACAAGTTCTTGAACTCGATTCGTGTTCAGCACTCAGACATACTTACACAACATAATAAATGATCTGAATATGCGTAGATAACTCACCTCGCACTGGCACTGGTCGGTGCATTTCCATACACCGAATACTCAGCTGTTAATATGGTCGGTCCACTTGTTAGGTTTAATTCAGCTATTGGATTAAAGGCACTTACACCACTACTGTCATTGATATAGATTTTGAATGGATAAGTTTTCAATGCTAATAGCATGCAATTGACAACAGCATGCGAATCCATGATAATGAAACGTTTTGTAAATCGGTTTCGATTTAGGGCGATTTCTTCTTCTTCTCTCTCTCTCTCTGTGTGTGTGTGTGTTCTTCTTTGTCCGCCTGACGTCAGTCTATTTCATTGGATTGAGTGGTATTGAAACCGAACTATCCGATCGACTATCCAATGACTGGAATCTTTCGTTTGCCTATAATGCGAATGATACGAAAAACAACAGAAGTCAAGAAATAAAAATCGTATTTTAGCAGAACAATGAACTAAATGTTAAACAGTGTTTGTGTTGAATGACTGGGTGACTGCAATTATTGTCAACGGCAAGCGATAGCTTTCGTCACTGCCGCCACCACTACCAAGACAAATGAAATAATAGCATACCGCTGACTGTGTTGTTTGTCTGACTTGGCGCGTCGACGAGAAGAGAGAAAAAAAACACCTCCAATGGAAATCTTTCTGGATATTTGGTTTAAGTAGTGTTTTATGTTTTATGTGATTCATACACGTTTTTCACGTTAACTTTGTCTAAGGTCAGTGTTGAACAATGAACATTTCACATGCCAAGTAACGAATAATTGATTTGCCGATTTGCTTCTCCTTCTTTGTTTTTTTATACAAGTGAAGTTCGCTTTCTTTGCTCGTACTATGGCCGAATAAAACGAAAAACAAAAATCTGATCGTCTGCACACAAATAAATGTCCATTGCTTCCACTTTGGATATTTACACTTAACATTCATGAGGATCATTACCGACTCTGATCCAAAATGTATTCGGACAATAAATACCGATAGCGTTAAAAAACAAAACACACACACATACCAGCGATATTACTTTGGTCCTACGCTAAACGAAAACACCGGAATACCGATGGTTGGTGGATAGATAAAATGAAAAGGGAAACAAATAAACACACAACGCACAAAAGAAAGAAAATAGGCAATATAAGTGGCGATGACGGAACGATGAGCGAATGCGGTCGAGACAACATCAAAATGATATCATAAAACAGACCCAAATAGTTGGTGTTTGGATATCATTTTGGTTAAAAAGAGAGAGAAAGAGAGAGAGAAAGACCGAGACTGTGCGAGTAACCGATGGAGAACAACAAAAATATGGGCCACGAAATTAAATTTTTTTGATAACATGATTTCCAAAAATATTCTTAATTGATTAAATTGCAGCGGGACAATAAAATAGGCAACCGCATCTATAGCATTTACTCCACCACTTGATAGAAATGAATATGGCTAGCACGTCATCAGATCATTTATGTGTTTGTTTACAACCATAATTTGTTCTTTCAGCGCGTTCTTTTTTTGTGTGAAGCACACTGCCATCTATCTCACCAGTCCCTCATTTTCTTTATTTCTTTTCCTTCACTTGTTTTGGCCAAATTATTTTCTCGCTTTCATCTTTTGAATTGGCCATACTATCGTCTTGATATGCGCACATTGCATGGCACGGTATATTCAACTCGGCATTGAATAAATTTACATATTTCATTTTCAAAGTACTACCACATAAATAATAAAGGTCTAGCTTAAAATCATCAAAATGTATCGGCTCTGTTCTGTCCGCTCCATTCACTATTATGTGTCCAATGACACCGAATGAAGACTTTCAAGATTTTCGTTTCCTCGTGCTCATGGGAGATCAACTCTCGCATTTCCTTTTTGTATGAAGGCGACCAATACGTATTCTATCGAACATTGGCCAATGAATAGGGAAGCAAACCATTTTTTTTCTCTTCCTTTTCATAAATTCAATCGATGATTCACTACATGTTTTATGCATACTGACTATGTTCCTATGGCCGTTGGGATGATTATATTTTCATCAATTTTCACTCATTGTGTGTCAGTGTTAGCAATGATTTAAATTTATAAAGGATTCTTTTATCCTATTAACGGCCAATTTTCGTGCAAAATGGTATTTCATGAAAGCTGAGCTGTTTTTTTCTCTCCTTGATATGAAATTGACGATGAGCACGCCAATGATAAATACTTGAAGTTATTAAAGAACTAATAGAAGAAAATGGCATGTTTGAACCCTTTGACAAATGATTTTGACACTGTTAACATAGGTTTTTGAAATACGTGCAAATTTCCACCGATTTATTGGAGTATCCGTGTGTTTTTGTACTAACATAGTAGTTTTCCTTTGGCTATTCATTTTTGTCACTGTGAATTTTTTCGCTCGCTAAACGGTGCATACACGTGGCCTTTTTTTGCTGAACAAATATCAAGAGTCATTTTGTTGTGTCACACAATTTCATTTTAGCTATTTCGATCTCAAGTATTATTGTTTTTTTTTGGTTTTTTGCTTGGTCACAACTTCTTTGCCATCCATATATATATATATACAGTAAAACCTATCAATAACGGAACCTGGGAATAGTGGAAATCGTGTCAATAGTGGAAAAAAAATTTGGCCGTTGAGCTCTCCCATACAAATTGACCTGTTAATAACGGAAAACCGAAACTCCAAATAGTGGGAAAAAAATTCTTGACGAAATTTTTTTTCGTCTTTTTCCGTGTCTTTTTCATTTAAAACTATATTTTTTCCTTTATCAAAACCAATAATCATCATAAAAATCCTGCAGTACAATGTACATTACATTGATTTCAGTATCATGTTTTACTTTCGTCTGCCGAAATCATTGCTTATTTCATGCAAATAAATGTTTGACGCCCCCAATAAAAACACATCCACTCGATTGGCGCGTGCAATTCAGTATATTTACAGTAAGTTTGAAAATCATGGTTTCGTTTCATGAAATGCAGAATTTATCGCTGCCAATTTGGAAGTGAAATGAGTATCATTTACTTTCTCATTTTGAGTCACTGTTTAGACTGCTTGATTGTTCTAAATAATAATGTTTGTCATTCGCTGTTTTTTTCTTCATTTTTCGTTCTTTCCTTCATTCATTTATTAAAAAATACTTTTATTTCAGTATTTCCTTCTCACCTTTATTATATCACTTGATTTGATCATTAAATACCCATAAAAATGTATGCTTCGGTTTTTTTGTCTCTTTTTACCCTCAATAATGGAAAATCATGTTTGGTTCGACTCAAAAAACTGTCAATAACGGAACCTTTAGTAATTTAATAGTGGAATTCGTGTCAATAGTGGAAAAAAAATTCCCCATGGGATTCCGTTATTGACAGGTTTTACTGTATATATATATATATATGTATATATATATAAATGCAAAACCACTTCGATGATCCCAAAAATTGCCTTACAAGAGTTTCGTAACAAAATATCGCCTGTCTATCGGTATTACCACCAACACACATAGTCACTCAATAAGTTTAGAATCTTGAATCCCCAGATGAGCCAGAAATGCATGAACATCGGGACTGAACTACGTTTTATTTTCCCAAGTTTATTGATGTAACGGAAAAAGCGAAAACAAATGTTGAAAACAAAATAAAACAGCATGTTATCTGTAACAGCAGATCATAACAAATTGGATTGCACAGTGTTCGTTAAGTAATTTGTTGTAATTTAGTTGAATCAACGAAAATTGTTAAATATAGCTAAAGTTGCATTTGAAATAAGTGCTTCGAAATCGATGATCAGAAATCGATTTATTCATAACAAGTGCTTTCAATTTTTCCCACAAGCATTCGACGTTCCATTTTCGTACAAAACGAATGCATTACGATGAGCATTTCGCATTAAGTGGTTTTACGTGTTGCCTTGATCTGGAAAATTTCCTTTTGCTGACCTGAAACGCCACATGTTACAAACACGTTCGCTGTGCGCTCGACCAAAAAGATAACAAAAATAAAGCCAAATACAAAAATCGTTCCATATATTCAATATCGTGCCCAAATAATTTATTATTTCTTTTTCATTTTTTATTTTATTAAATGCAGAGGCATTACAAGCTATTTTGCCCATTAATTTTGAACGAACGTCTCGGCCATCGATATTGATATCAAAACTTGCTACACGAAATATTACGATAAATAGCTTGAACATGATGAATTTGATATCATAAACAGAAGACAGGACACACACACACACACACAGAATAAAAAACGAATATAAATACAAATTGGTGTTCCTGTCAAACAACACAATGGGGAAAAAATCACTCAAACATTATATCAATAAATCACTCCGGAAATTATGTTGATAATTTTTCTTTGAAAATGTTTTCGTTCGAAATGGTTCGCTTTTGCAATGGAAATTCATGATTTTCAGCAAATTTTTTCACTCGTTCTTTTTCATCGTTGCATGACATCCCAGCGACCTTTGGCACGGACAACAGAAAAGCTGTTGAACCATTGCAATGACCACAGCTGTGGGTTATCGAAATTTGAATAAACCTGAGCTAGGCACATTGCATTCAAATGAAGTGAATCACTTCTCAACCAGTTCAAATTTTATAAATTCTCTTCCAACCATTGTGAGCATCAAAGCAGAACACTTAACTACATTCGTGTATGTGTCTTGTGCACTCACTGCGCGCTGTGCACTTGCACAATATTTAAATATGATTCCAACATCAGTAGCAGCAGAAGCAGTAGTAGCACAATACAAAACAGCATTTCCAGATGTTTAGATTAAATTTTCCCCAAGAAATTATTTCAATTATACCTCTTCGAATTGGTCAAATATTTGCAATGTGTCCAAAACGCATAAATACGGCATCGCATAAGGCAGTTATC